TTAAGTTCCTGACATTTTATTACTTTTATTTAGTACTTTAAATTAACTTGTCTTTTTAAAATATCTCTTAATTTTTGATAGATCTCTGCTATTCAGAATTGATGCTTATTTCATGAATGAAACCACTTTGTTTGCTTCCTACAGAAAGCTTCCTCCACATTTGAAGTCTGTCCAAATAGCATTTATGTTCCCGCACAAATCATAAATATTTAGATTTTTTTTTAAAGTTTAATGTTTAGAAAGATTTTTATTGGAAGCTCATTTAAACATGAGTAGAACTAGCTGAGCTCTCATAAATTTTAAAATAAAATTAAAACTCATTTTTGTTGAGAATTAACCTTTCTTACATTGTTCAAGCAACTCCCAGGTCTAAATTACTCTGGTTTTACCCAAAACAGTGGTGGTAAAAATGTTATGGATCAATATACACATATTTATAGAAGCAAAGCAATTAGCACTAGATTTTTAGAAGGCACGCAACCACATAACAAACACAATATGAGCTCTGTTCCAGAAATACACAGCCACTTAAACTCTGCCTAAGTTCCACAAGACTACTGAACGCAAAAGACTAACAAGATTGGCTCTACGGTAATGAGATATTTTTTTAAATTACTCTATAATGATATTTTACATTTTCTCATTAGCACATAAATTGCTATTTTTAAATTGGAATAAAGCTGTAATAAATCATTACACAGTTGTCGGTAACCATAGTAGTAGTGATTATAGTGTTAATGTTTACTTTGCCTTAGTGATGATGACTATTAATATTTTCCTACATGACCTTATAGGCGACACCTAATTACCTGTTTGTTCCTGTAAAACAAACTGCTATGCTAACAAGTCACTTCTCAGGCATAACTGTGGTCAGCTAAAACTTCTATATTTTAGGACAAATTACCACATTTGAAGAAAGACGTAGTAACAGAAAGTGTTGAGTCACTATCCCTGGAGGTATTTAAAAGACGTGTAGACATGGCACTTAGGGACATGGTTTAGTGGTGGACTTGGCAGTGCTAGGTTAATGGTTGGGCTCGATGATCTTAAGGGTCTTTTCCAACCTAAATGATTCTATGATTCTATTCTATCATTCTACGAAGGTATTGGTGAGGAAAATAAAAAAGACATTATTCCTGCATAGAAGAGAACGGGCTTGAACAGATAGAAGTCAAAGCCCTCCACTTGCTACAGCCAGAGAAACTCTGTACCAGAGAACTGTCACCCCTATGTTTTAGGATCAAACTACCAAAATGGGACTGCAAATGAAAATCAAAAGGAT